GCGCGGTCTCTGTGGCAAAGCTGCGAACGTACCTGACAACATTGGTGGTGCACAGCACGTTCGATAATCTTAGCTGTTGCTGGCACAGTGGATGTCGGTCAAGGAGGTTTGCACAGGGGCGTGTTCCCATGCGGCTGGTTTTGTGGAGAGCTGTACAGGGGCGTGTTCCCATGCGGCTGGTTTTGTGGAGGACTGTACAGGGGCGTGTTCCCATGCGGCTGGTTTTGTGGAGGACTGTGCAGGGGCGTGTTCCCATTCGGCTGGTTTTGTGGAGGACTGTACAGGGGCGTGTTCCCATTCGGCTGGTTTTCTGGAGGACTGTACAGGGGCGTGTTCCCATGCGGCTGGTTTTGTGGAGGACTGTGCAGGGGCGTGTTCCCGCGCACTTGACACCCTGCTGTCAATGTTTGATGATGTCAAGGAATGAGCAGCCCACGCCGCCAAAACAGTAAATAAAGGCTTTATGCAAGCATTTTCTAAACTACACGCCCCTGCCCGACTCGTCGCTGACATGCACCAGAGTGGCAGAATCACACCTGGCTTTGATACCTGCACGGACGGCAGTCGTAGGGCTTACATTCACAAAGTACTCATGAATGGCGTCTGGAGGAGGGTCGGGCTGGCACCGTCATTGCATACCCTCGCTCCCAATAACGGGCTTATTACACCACCACATGCCGACGCACACCAGTATCTTTATTTGAAAGTTGGAAGCTTAGATTGGAAGGCCCCAGCCTTGACCGAAGAAGGTAATGGGTCTCCTAGTGATCTACCCACGGGGCCCCTTGCTCGGGAAAGCTGAGGTGTCGCTGCTCATTGGTGTTTAACCCATGGGCCCCCTCAATGCACGAGGGCCCGTTGGCATGGCTGGATAAAAAAGAAGAGAATCGGGCTCCTCGAAATAAACTTATTGTTGTTTGGGAGAAAGTGGTCTTTTTACTGACGGTCCTTCATGATGCCCCGTGCCCCCCCCCCCCCCTTGCCAAGACTGGCTGCGCCCACGCCATTGGCATCGTTCTGAGACTACGGATCAGTCTCGTGGGGCAACACAGCTAGATGGCTGCTTGTTCTGAGACTGCGGATCAGTCTCGTGGAGCAACGCAGCTAGATGGCTGCTTGTTCTGAGACTGCGGATCAGTCTCGTGGGGCAACACAGCTAGATGGCTGCTTGTTCTGAGACTGCGGATCAGTCTCGTGGAGCAACACAGCTAGATGGCTGCTTGTTCTGGGACTGCGGATCAGTCTCGTGGAGCAACGCAGCTAGATGGCTGCTTGTTCGGAGTCTACGGATCAGTCGCGTGGAGCAACGCAGGTAGATGGCTGCTCGTTGGGAGAAGCATCCCCAGAACATCGTAGACGGTTATCGCTTGAGTTCATTTACGAAACTGGTAGTCACTGTATGACAAAGTTGGTAAAATTGGATGGGAATGCCAGTGCGCATGATAGCAAAATAAGGTGCCTTGTATCCGGACGGAATCGGTTCTAAGTGCAGCTTACTTATTCGTTTACATTGTCCCCCAGCCCAGACGAAATAGACTTGTTGCACATTTGGGTGTAGGGTGAGAATACAACATTCGCTGGAATGTCAAGGAATTCGAGAGCGGTCAGAAAAGGCCGTAGCGATCTGGATACTGCCAAGGACGTTCAAAGGGAGTTCAAAGATCAAAGACCCAAGTTGAATGAAGAGTAAAGTTTTTTTGGTAAACATTACGATAAACTGATCGGCAACGAGTCAATAATTGAGCATAGTCAACCTGCCCATTCTGAGCCCGTCGCTGACCTGTGGCAGGCAGTCCGTCCTGATTTAATATTTCAAAAACTAGAAGTTAATGTGGGCCTGATGCCACGAGCCGAATCCGTCGGCGGGAGGCAGTGTGCGACGCCAGAGATCAGGCGGGAGGCAGTGTGCGACGCCAGAGATCAGGCGGGAGGCAGTGTCCGACGCCAGAGATCAGGCGGGAGGCAGTGTGCCACGCCAGAGATCAGGCGGGGGGCAGCGTGCCACGCCAGAGATCAGGCGGGAGGCAGTGTGCCACGCCAGAGATCAGGCGAGAGGCAGTGTGCCACGCCAGAGATCAGGCTGCGTGCGACGCCAGAGACCACCCCAGCAGACCAGGCGCCCCGGCCCTCTGCTGCATTCGCCAATAATCCGCTGAAGGCTGTTGGGGTACCCAGCATGCCAGCAGGCTGGGTACCTCGGCATTTGGTCAAGGTTGACAATCTGTGTTCCGATCTTCCAGCTGATTTTATCAAAGGTCCAGGTGTGGTAAGATACAAGGCTGATGGCTTGTTGATGACGCTACTCGTGTCTGAGAGCGGTGAAAACAGTGGGAAGTCTTTTGCAGACACAGGCACAGATATAAATACGCACAAAAATAAACAAGTGCGGACACAGCTTCCTCTAACAGAGGAAAAGTTGTGGCTAAGAAAGGCATCGCCAACTGATCAGTTTTCCTAGCTGTTGAAAGGTCACGGACAAGACTAAGCCGATCAGAGCTCATGACGAACATCAGCAGCCGGGCCCCGTCTGCTGCGCTGGCAGCAGACCGGACAGATCACGACTGGATGGATCACGACCAGGCGGATCACCACCGGACGGATCACGGCCGGCCGTTGGCGGTGGGATAGGTGCCGTTAGGGGTCATATCCTGGTCGCCTGGGAGGTTAGTGGGGTTCTCGTCTCCTCGCTACCCCACTCCTCGCCCACTCCGCCGCCGTTCCCCTGTAAGTTCGCAGGTTACGCTACGTATATTTGGCTTTTTTCATCTCCCATCCCCTGGTTAGCCATTGATTACGCTGGGGAATAGCCCGTTGCCCCGCAGCGATATATTAAACGGAGCATCCCACCTTTTTGCACATTTCATTCATTGCTACATTAGACGCATACGAGTTGATCAATAACACCAGGGTTTTTCCGAAATCATTCTGAGTGGGTCGGGATTTCTATCTGAAGTAACCAACCCTGCGAGAGAAATGTCATTTGACTTTCTGTTCACCAATGTGAAAGTAAAGCAATTCATTTCCCTTTTTTCCAACTGGTGTGTTCTGTGATGTCTACAACACACTAATGAGTTAAATGTGCGCAATAACTGCTATGAAAGCTTGAAACACTCTGTCTCTGCAAAAAGATGTACGGATATGAAGCTTTTATCCGCGAGTTCAGCGACTCGTTATACTGTGGATCTGATTTCTCCCTATGGCGTTTACTACAGCAGCTCTTTTCGAGGCGCACTTTGGATTTGGGAACGGGAGTATCACATGATTCATGTGGTGCACTGGTTCAACCTTTAACCAATCAGGCCCTCAGTAACATGCTCTTGCCCGTTTGGTAAATCACAAACCTTTTATTGCCACCAGTAAAGGTGCCAAGTGCGCACGGTTATTCCGACGACGACGGTGGTCGCGAATGCAGCGAAGAAGCGTAGGTTACAAAGCATTCGCAGCATAATTTGGGCTCGAAAGTAATTAAAGTAAATTAAGAATTGCATCTTTATTATATATTGGCGATGCTGCAGTGTCACTACCCAGTGCTCTTATAACACGCAACTAGTCGTGAGATTTCACGAGAGTATGCTTTTTAAATATGCTCCATAAGGTAGGACACTCTTTAAGCATGTCCGGAAAATGCATCGTCTATTTGTCCAAGCGCTGTTAGGCGCTCGCTATTTGTTATTGACAGGTATAGGGTGCGGCCGGTGGCAACGGTCGCGCTAAAGGCCAGCTGACGTCAGGGGGCAGGACGGACTGTGCCGAGCATTGCGGCACGTTAAACTTTCGCCACTAAATTCTACCGTTGCCTGGAATTACGCGATCAGATGGCAGGGGTCAGGGCTCACACAACAAGCACTGCTTAGCTTGAGCGCCGATCCTAGAAATCCATCCACTCAAAGTGTTCGGATCAAATTTCCAAAAAAATCAAAATTGAAAAAACCTTATCTCCCGTTATTGAGCTAGAGGTGTGGTGAGGTGGCACACGGTATCCGTCTCTAAGAGTGTAAAATTTGTTTGTGAGGAATTTTGGAATGATTTTCAACCTCATCTGAGAGTATTGTCACGCTGTTCTACCCCTTGTTATTTTTGCTCACGCGCCATCTTCTTCCCTTCCCTCCCCATAACCCACGTGTAACGTAATTTATACGAATTTATATTTATACGGCCCCTTACCTCCGCGAGATGGTGAGGGATTTGATTTTGACCAGGCGGGTTGCCGAGGGCTCATCCAGAGGGAGCAACCGGATGGAGCGCTCGGAAGGTGCATCCCGAAGGGGCACCCGGAGCGCGCACCGGAAGGAACGCTCGGAAGGGAGTGCCCGGATGGAGCTCTCAGAAGGGGCATCCCGAAGGGGCACCTGGAGCGCGCGCCCGAAAGGGGCGCTCGGAAGAAGCATTCCGAAGGGGCACCGGGAGCGCGCGACCGGAAGGAGCGCTCAGAAGGGACGTCCGGAGGAAGCACCCGGAGGAGGCGCCTGGAAGAGGCAACTGGAGGGGGCGCCTGGAGGGAGCGCCCGAAGGAGGCGCCGGGAAGAAGAACCCGGAGGGGCGCCCGGAAGGCGAGGGGGTGAAGGCGGGTGTATCGAGGGCCGGCGGCGCGCTCACGACGGTCATCATGGAATCTGACATGTCGGGAGTACTTTTCCCGGGGAAACAATCAGCTGACTGAAGGTGCGATACTTAAAGACACACCTGCTTTGCACTGTTGTCTTTCTTGCTGAAAGGGAAATGCTAGTTTGGCATGACCATCGGAGCACGTTAGCTTATGTTAGGAGCACTGGTGCGGGGTGAATAAGTGTGCATGACAGCATGGCACTCGGGAGTGGCATGGCATTCCGCTCACTTCGTTACGCAACACCGCTGCCTGCTCTCTATTTATTAAGACTTCATCCTTGCGCATCGGGCGCCAGCCGGTGCCGTCATTGTTGTCCTGCGGCCGTCTGTGTGAGCGAGTGAGTGATGGCCGGTCGGTGGTGCCAGGAGCAGATGCGTCTGCGCAGTCTCCACGGCGGCGGCGCCCCTCCGACGAGGTCTAAATCGACGCCAGTAGCCGGTCCCGCGCCGCCGACGACGCACCCGACGCCCGCCACCATGTCGCAGTGGGACGAGTCTCTGGTGAGGGAGCAGGTGCGCAGCGACCGCGGCGCGTCCAACCTCGCCTTCAACGAGAAGGTGAGCTGACCGAGGCGCGGTGGGACTGGTGGAGTGGATGGTCAAGGGAGTGCAGGCCGCGTGTGCGACGCGGATATCGTGGTGCCCGGGCTGTCGGCTCGTCCTAAGTGCCATGGTGACCAGTTGTTGACACCTTGGACTTGCTTGGATTCATGTGCACGCATTGAACACACCATGAGCACTGTATTTACTTGCGCACTGTTCGCAAGCTACGTTCATTGTTCTCACCACGTCAGTTATACATGTCGCTCGAGGTTGGGAAGCTAGCGATGGGTACTTGTATCTGTTATCTTTTATCTTGTGATCTGCACTGAATAATAAAATAAAATTGACAGCATTTCCCATTCACTTAGCTCCGACGATTCGGAGAAGTTAGTCCAGTCCGGTCCAGTCCTGTCCAATCCAGTCCAGCCCAGCCCAGTCCTGTCCAGTCCAGCCCAGCCAAACCCAGCCCAGCCTAGCCCGGTCCTGTCCAGTCCAGTCCAGCCGAGCCCAGCGCACCCCAGCGCAGCCCAGCCCAGCCCAGCCCAGCCCAGCCCAGCCCAGCCCAGCCCAGCCCAGCCCAGCCCAGTTCAGTTCAGCCAAATACAGTTCGGTCCATTCTAATCCAGTTCAACTCAGCCCAGCCCAACCCAGTTCAGTTCAGCCAAATGCGGTTCAGTCCATTGTAATCCAGTTCAACTCAGCCCAGCCCAGCCCAGTTCAGGTCAGCCAAATGCAGTTCAGTCCATTCTAATCCAGCCCAGCCCAGCCCAGTCCAGTCCAGTTCAGTTCAGTTCCAGGTAGGCCAGGCACCCTAGGCATGTGTGGTTTACATGCGACTGCCCGTCTGTGGGTCAGAGGCGGCCGTCTGCAGAGGCCACCGAGCAGGTGGCCACTCACCTGATGTCTACACGTCACCACCCGCCTGTAGGCCGGAGATGATCACCTGCCTCTAGACCACGGGCGGCCACGTGCCCCTAGACCACATGCGACTACGTACCTTCAGACCACACTTGACCGCCTGTCTCTAAACCCCACGCAATCGGCTGCTTCTAGACCACATGCGACAGCATCCATCTAGACCTCATGTGGCCACCTCCCTCTAGACCACATGAGACCGCCTGTCTCTATACCACGCATGGCCAGTTGCCTCTAGACCACACGTGACCGCCTTCCTCCAGATCGCCTTCCTGCTGAATGCAGCTGAAAGTGCGTCTCTGGTCCGCGGGTGAAGCAGCCGCAGCTGAGTGCGTGTTTCTGGTCGGCAGGTTGAGCGGCTGCAGTAGAGTGTGTATCTCTGGTAGATCGGTGAAGCAGCTGCAGCTGAGTGTGTGTCCCTGGTCGGTCGGTAAAGCAGCCGCAGCTGAGTGCGTGCTTCTAGTCGGCAGGTGAAGCAGCTGCAGCTGAGTGTGTGTCTCTGATCGGCAGGTGAAGCAGCCGCAGCTGAGTGCGTGTTTCTGGTCGGTCGGTGAAGCAGCTGCAGGTGAGTATGTGTCTCTGGTCGGTCGGTGAAGCAGCTGCAGCTGAGTGTGTGCCTCTGATCGGCAGGTGAAGCAGCTGCAGCGGAGTGGGCGCGACATCAGCCACTTCGCGTTCGGCCAGGCGCCGTTCCCTGTGCCGACCTGCGCCGTCACCGCTCTGAGAGAACACGCCGCCGAGCACGCTTACCTACCGGTGGCCGGTGAGCGGGAGGGCAAGGCATGCCGGCTGCCCTGTGGCTAGGGGGGGGGGGATGACTAAGCAGCACTGCCTCCCCGTGAGTGGTGAGGGAATCTGTTATCTGCTATCGGCGTATCTGTTGGTGGGTGGTGAGCAGAGGGCGTGGGCCGCCTGCGGATGTCCTGCCAGATCAACGCATCCAAGCCGGGCCCGAACATGCCCATCTATCTGAGACAGTTGAGAGAAATAGGACACGCATAGCTGTCAGCACTCATTTTTATGGTACTCGCAAGCAAACATCAAGCGTACGCATTTTCAGGCATTCCAGAGCTGCGGCAAGCCATCTGTGGCCTGCACAAGAGATGTGATGATATTGACCTGGACCCCGCCAGAGTTTTGGTGGGTCCCGGCTCCAAGGAGCTGATTTATCTCACCATGAACGTCTTCAGTGGAGGTCAGTCGCCCGTGGCATTGTTTGTTTACACATCCATTACGGCCACGTGTCTCAAGACATAAGCTCATTTCGAATGAGGTGCATATGATGCCCGTTACTGCTTAGCATAATTGCGATGCAATAGTGCGCATTTGGAGACAGCGGTTTTTGCTTCGCCGTGGTATGCTATGGGTTACACAGAACAGTCAACTGAGGTATCTGCGCGATCGTCATAAAAGCCTCGCAACTAGGCCTTACGGGTGCGGGAGCTGAAACCTCAGAACGGCATTCCACGATGGTTTGCGGTCCAGTCTGCGATTTCCGGTTGGAAATCCGTTCTGAGCCAGCACGTGAATATTGAATAGCAATTTACCCCCTGCACAGCATTAAGACGAATTTGATCGACCCGCACGATGACCTACTCATCCTCCGCCCTTTGTCTGCTTCCTAGTATTGCCTCTGGCTGTCTGGCGGCGTTCCTCATGACTCGTCGGATTATTCGGAAAATCCTTGTTACCGACTGCTTGCCACCCACAGACATTTTACTTGTGGCACCGGCCTGGACCACGTATGAGCCGCAGAGCCGCCTAGCGGGACATCAGGCAACTATTCTGCGTACGCACGCTGAGAGCCATTACAAGCTGACGCCAGCGGATCTGGATAACCTGTTCAGCTCACGGAAGCTGAAGCCGCACAGAATGCTCGTGCTCACCAACCCAGGAAATCCCAGTGAGTAGGAGAGCGCCGCCCAGCAAAACGCCAAGTCTACCAACAGCAGTTGCGGGCTCAGTTCGGGGCCGTTCATACACGGGTGTAATTGCCGAGTGGTTAATACCTTTGGCTCCTAAGATGGGGCCCGGGTTCGAATCTTGGTTGTGAAATGGTCCGCGAGCGCTTATGTGGCTACTGCAGTCGCTGGCGCTCAAAAAAAAAAGATTGTGCGACGTGCCCCCGGCTCCTTTTTTATAAAAAGTGGCAGTTCATAAGTTACGTTCCGCAAAAAGCCGGTGGAGTGAAAGGAAGCATAGGCGTAACCAGGGTTACGGAGGGTATATACAGCGTAACGTCACGCTCAGGTGTGGTTGTAAACTTTGTGCTAAGAAGTTTAAAGGTAATTTATGACCGTTTACGCAGGATGCCGTAGGCTTCTTGTCATGATGAGCAGCACACCATATGTTTTGTTTTCGCACTTCTAGGTCAATTTGGGGCGTCACCTTTTTTGGGATGTTATGCTGAGCACGACATAACTAGGGCGGGGAGTTGATTTCACCTAGCATAACCAGTGCTTAATTAAAGGGAGCTACAAAATGGCGTGGAAATGGGTGACGTAATAAACGGTATTTGCATTTCAATTGCGTAAGGTTAATTATGGACGGACCCCTTTACAATGTCGCATGGTAGATCTTCGTAGATGTTTGGACTGGTATGCGACGCAACACATGCATTTTGAACTACGGCCTGTTCGCACCGATTTCCGGAGTTTTCCAAAGGTGTTAAGAACCTCCGCCATTCAGTGTGCCAAGCCTAAATGAGACCAGATTTTGTCATGGACGCAGCTCCCACTGCGATGTCTGTTTGTCATGGAGGCAGCTCCCACTGCGATGTCTGTTTGCCATGGAGGCAGCTCTCACTGCGATGTTTGTTTGTCATGGAGGCAGCTCCCACTGCGATGTCTGTTTGTCATGGAGGCAGCTCCCACTGCGATGTCTGTTTGTCATGGAGGCAGCTCTCACTGCGATGTCTGTTTGTCATGGAGGCAGCTCCCACTGCGATGTCTGTTTGTCATGGAGGCAGCTCCCACTGCGATGTCTGTTTGTCACGGAGGCAGATCCCACTGCGATGTCTGTTTGTCATGGAGGTAGCTACCACTGCGATGTCTGTTTGTCGAAAACCAGCCCCTCCTCACCGTGACCATTACTATTGAAACAAACGCTTCGTTCCCAGCGGGAACGGTGTACACGGAGCAAGAGCTGGCTGCACTGAGGTAAGCTTCACTAAACATTTACCGTGCTCGCTCTGATTTTCTTGTCGGGCAGTCTGTGTCAAGCGCTAGTCTTGCGACGTAATTGGGTGCTGCGGCCTGATAGACGGTCCCAGGCCCACTTCGGGTGAATGTGGAGTAACACTTCCAGTTAGTAATTCTTCGTTCATGGGTCTGGGCCCAGAGCAGCTCCGGCCTATAGCCTATGCGGTCACACGATCTCATTGGCACGAACAGCGCAAAATGGAGGATGTCCCCAAGCTCTTCAAGGCGAGGTGTAGCGCCATTTTTGGTTGAAAAAACATGTTTTAACGCATGACTTCTGCTGGTCCCGTTCTGATACACGTAAGATGTGCTGATGTCACATGTGGAGCTTAACGTTTACTCTGGGCTGCAACAAGACATCCCCAACGAGCGCATATGTACCCCGGTGTTGTCGGTGTGTATTCAACAATTGACACGAATAGTGAATTGTTGTCCATAAAATTTACCAGGCCTGATGCGGCATGAATTCTTATCAGAACTTTACCTAATTAGGGCTGGTTGGAGTCATTGTGCGTCCCGGTAGCTCAGTTGGTCAGAGCGTCTGCCTTCCGATCCACCCACCAGTGGCGGGGTGGGTTTCAGTTGAGTTAGGCGCTCGCTGTTTGGCCTTGACAGGCATGGCCTGCGACCGGTGGCAGCGGCCGCGCTAAAGGTCAGGTAGCGTCAGAAGGCAGGACGGACCGAGCCGAGTGTTGAGGCACGTTAAACTTTCGGCACCCAATTCTGCCGTTGACATGATATTTCACGATCGGGTGGTATGGGTCAGGGTTCACATAACAAGCACTGCTGAGCGCGAGCTCTGATCCCAGAAATTCACCGATTCAAATGGGTTGGACTAAATCTTTAAAAAATGTTATTTGGCAGTATATGTCATTTGTTTTAATCAAATACGTTTGAAATAGGACGCATAAATGTTTTATTTCATAAAAGGTGTGTATTTTCGTAAAAGCAGGGTGATCCCAAATACACATCTGGCCGCTGTCACGAATGTGTGACTCACTCCAGGGCATTCCTGAAAGTTTACATTTGACCTACATGGAAATCACGTGGACTGTAGTCCACGTTATTTGCCTGTGGGTCAAATGCGTTCATCGACACTTCTAATGTCATCAGATGGAACAACTTCACCTAGGAAAAGGTAAACAGTCAATCCTAAATAGTTTGCATTCGCAGCAGCATACGATCGGATGCTCCTGTGGTGGCAGATGAAACACATTCGTCATCCCCACTACCAATCGACGAAGCTCTAAGTCAAGAATAGAGAAGGGCCTAGTACACAATGCACAAGCTTTCAGGTCGACGACAGACACTCATTCTCTTCTGAGCAAAGAGCGTAACACGCACCCGGGTGGCCGGTTGAATACCTTTCTCTCGGGGATCAATTTCACCCCCTGAGATCTCAAAAAGCTAAGATAGCTAGAGGCATCAAATTTACAGGGTAGATTGGCCTGTACATGAACTCAGTGGCGTCGAAATTTGGAGTTTCTAGCTTATGACTTTGGCGTTGAATAAGGTCAAACAAGGTCAGACTTTAGATTGGCGTTTCAAGTGTCCCCAGACCCCTCCCCCCCCCCCCATGCAACCGCTGTGGAGCTAGATGTTTGTTCTAAGCAAAATTTTAATGAGTTCAGTGACCTTTTTGATCTTTAGTAGGTCGAGTGACCAAATACCAACGAGATTGCTCCTATTTTGTCATTCGAATAAGCGTTAGTGGTTAGATTAGGCGGTATGCTCCTAAAAACAAATGTTGATCTGGTTCATTTTATGTTAGTGACATACTTTGACTTTCAAAAAGTCCATGGAGCATATCTGTTGCGCTTCTTGTCATTAATAAATTATAAATGAGCACTAGAAACTTCCCTATAAAACCAAGCTCCCAAGTAAAACAGCACGTCAGTTTTGATTTTGTTGTGATTTTCATGCATGCTCCTAGATCGATGGAATGGTTTTACGTCTAAATTCGACTGGTTTATTCACAAAAAACTATCTCAGGTATGTATGGCTTGGTCTAACAATCCGTTGTGGCATCACCTTGAACGATTTCCTAGAAATGCCATCCACTGACTGCCATGGCCTGACGTTGACCTGCCATTGGTCAGCGACCTTACAAGGTGCATCTAATTTTTTACACCAAAAACGCGCTATTCAGTTCTCTGCAGCTATGAAAAGTTTGGCACAGCAACGCCGCGTCCAACTATTGGGTGTCAGAGGGCGATATAGAAAAGATAGACTTTTGTCGTTTTTCATTCCTCTAGGACCTTCGTTTTGGTTGATATGAGCCTTGCATGTGGCGTTAGGTGCAAGCAGCACGAACACAAGGCCTCCGAAAACACGCAAATCTCCGCTTGTGCTCCAACGCTGACCAGCTGATTTTCTCGAAGCCTTGCTAAGTAGGCGGACAGCAAGGCTACAACTCAAATGCCTACATCACTCCAAGTAATTACAGCAAACCACATGGAAAATAGCAGAATCAAGTTTCTTGAAATATTTCCGAATTTAAAGTTGGGCGTCATCTCATCAGCTGCCCTGAAATCAGCAATTGGGGGTTATCGTCTCGTCTGCAAAGACTGTAATCTGCCAGCAAATCGAGCAGTACGACCTCCTTCGAATTCAGGAGGGTCAATTTGATACCCTGAGATCTCAGGAACTAAGGAGAAAGCTAGAGATACTAAATCCACAGGGTGTATAAGCTTTTACGTGATCTCACTTAGGTCAAGTTTTGAGGTTACTAGGTCATGATCTTCGAGTCAAATAGGGTCAAACAAGGTTAAACTCCAGGGTGGTCTCCAAAGTGTTTCCAGAACCTAGCTGCCTGGTTTAAGCAAAAGATCACATTATTATTTAAGGTTAGTGACTTTGTTTGACCTTTCGAAGGTCATGGTGACCAAAATTATCTAAGACCGCTTCGAGTTTTGCACTTGAATAGGCAACAAAGATCACGCTAGGCAGTATGTTCCCAAAAACGAAATGTTGGCCTGGGTCATTTCAGGTCAGTGATTGATTTTGACCTTTAAGAAATCCATGGAAGATGTCCAGTGTGGCTCCTGTTATCAACAGATTCGGAATGAGCACCAGAAGCTATCCCATGTAACGGGCCCTAGGGAAATAAAACAGCTTGGTTTCGACGTTGGTGTAACCTTCATGCCTGACCCTAGGTCAATGTAATTGTTCATTTGATTATTGTGTTACCTAAGAAAGTATCTCAGAGATGTATAGCGTCGTCTAAAGCTCCGCTGTTCCACCAGATTCAACGATTCCCTAGAAATTGACTTCGCTGAATCCTTGGCTTGATTTTGACCTGCCATAGGTCAGCGATCTTATAAGGTACGCTTATTTTTTATATCATACGATTCACCATTCAATTATCCACAGCTATTCAAAATTTGGCGTGGCTGCACCACGCCGTTCGGAATCCATTCCGGAAAAACCCTCGAGGGGTCAACTGGACCCCCACCTGAGCGCGTGTTAATCGGAGATACATTGCTCAGGACCTGTCAAACATAGAGGAAGATGGCTGTGTCCTGCATTCAAATAATTTTTTAAAGGTTTCAAACTGTTGCAGGCATCTAAATCATTAATCATCTTAATCATTGCTTGTGCCTACAAATTAAGGTACGAAGAAGATGCAAATATAGAAGAAAAAAGTTTAAAGCTACATCGGAAATGGGATAAATTTAAGCTAGATTTGACTATAATTTGTAAATGGCAAGATGCTATGATACCATGAATGTGTTAATGGTGCGATAATGTAGCTATTTTACCACATAACTGCGCTTACAACGGTCGTTTCGACGCTTGCCCGGGTTTAGCATTTACTTCCATACAGCTAGGTGGCAGTACCGGCAGCAGAGTCATCTGTTTTCGTAATGTTAAGGCGTCAATGTGAACCTCGCGGTCCCTGCTCCTTGAGTCTCCCGGGCATACACCGGGCCCCTTGTCTGTCCTTGGGTGAATCTAAGACCGCTCTGGGCCCCGTGACGTCTCAGAGATCCTCTAACCACTGCCTGGCCACCTTAAACGTCTCGGAACTTCGCCAGCCCGTTGAGCTACCAGAATGTCTTATGACTTTGGGCGCGAATGCTTTCAGGTTGTCCGGGCCTGTGTGAGCGAATGATGGATTTTGGACCATACCAGCAACAATTTGCGTTTGTTAATAAGTTTTTTGTTTTGGACCCGGGCGATTTTGTGCCCTTTTACGTTGTGAAGCCTGTGATCGTTTCAGCCTCTTCAACTTTATTTAGGCCTTTTTGATACTCATTAAGTTTATGCGCCTCAAATGTTCTCGGAGCTTATGCTTGGTGGGGTTCCAAACTTCTTGTAACATGGAAGGGTGTTGGTGCTGAGAAGTTCCGGCGCCCTGTACCTTAAGAGTGGGGAAAAGCCATCCTATAGTTCTGATCACTCGATTGACGAGATCACCGATAGCGTTCAAAGCGATTGGAGCAGATACGCTGTACATCTTTTGTCATAAATCACTCCTCGTTATCCAAAACATTTTTATTGCCATTATGATTTCTAGGCATTAAACGTGGAACTCTAAAGTAGTACAAGAAAGAGGGGGGGGGGCATCACATGATAAGCCTCCCTCCCAACGAGAACCTCGGTGTAAGTTAAACCGTGGTCACATTTTTTGCACTGAGATGGAAGACCTTGCTTGCCTTTGCTGCGGAGAGTAGGTAAATGCCTTCATTTTTAGCTTTTGATCGTATCAATACTGTCCTAATTCTATCTCCGCTTTATGTTTGATTATTGTAGCATTTGCTACGTTTTGTAGCGCAATATTTGTGATTTTGTCGCGTATCGCGATCTCAGACGTTGACCACCTCGTTTGAGGGCTGGATAATGGATGACAAGCCTCGCTATCAGTGAGAAGTTCGCCCCAAGGGATCCACGCTTGCTTTTTCTTCGTTGAAATTCCGAAAATATGCATGCTATTTCTGCGCGATCGACAGCTGCCTCCTGTTCATGCGATGGACGTTTTACACGGTCGCCGCTACTTTTAAGCTCCACTTCTGCCTCCCGATCAGCTTGCAGACACATATCTTTATCGATAGAATGCTTTTGTTTTTTCACGCATTGTTGGACTTCAAAAATATAGAATGTATATATATATATATATATATATATATATATATATATATATATGGGAAATGGTATTCGAATACTGTCCATTTGATAACAAGACTCCTTTCAGCAAAAAGCTCGACGAAATTCATACCCCTTTTTCCAGTGTGAAAGTCCAGCTTTTTGTAGCGCATTCGACACCACCCGTGCAGAGTTGCGTAGTCAGGATTTCATAAAGAGGGTGCCAAATCGAATCACAGGGGCCCATCCGGCCAGCAGAGTCCTCGTCGGCGTGAAGGGGCGCTGATTTTGATTCGGGGGCGTTCTTATGCTGGGGATCGTTTAGTGATGGCTTGGGAACCAGTTTTTTATGTTTTGCACTACGGATGTTTTAAACTAAAGTGCCTGTAAAAACTTAAACATAAAGTACCTGCAAAGCGTAAAAAGTGTAAGGACTTTGGTCCAAGGGAAAGCTGGCGGGATTCCTCTGGGATGGGCGTGAGGAAGGGAGCATGGCTTCCATAGTTGCCTCTCACCTGGACCGTGAAATTCATATCCTCGCCCCTCCCCCCCCCCCCCCCCCATATTCCGAATCATGCCACTACCTGCCGGTTCCCTTTCCATCCTCAATGCCAAAGATGTAGTTCCGTCCCTGAGTGATGCTGATGCTCTTGCGGTGTGGGAAGTCATATTCTTTTATGGATGATCAACGGCGACTTTGATACGTTGTCTAGCGGTTACCGATAATTTTACGCCTGTCGTAGCGATCACCAAACATCTTTGTGTGGAACGTCGATAGGGAAACCCGCATTCCGTCACGCCTCGTAAGTCTCCAGTAAACACCCTACCCAGATAGTGTCCCTGCACGGCGTGTCACTATCCACCTCACGTTCCGAGAAGGTCATGACCTTGATCGATGACGATTCGACTCGACCGTGGGAGTGTCGTCTGCGTGAGACGAGCCTGACGAGGCCTATGTTGTTTTTTATACTGTTTTCATGCCCATCTGGCACGCGTCAAAAGCAAGTGACGTCATCTGGAAGAATGTGCGTGTGCTCTACAATTTGAACACCATGGACGTGCTCGAGGGTGTTCAGGTTGGAATCCACGACGACCTGTACGTCGTAATGTAAGTCGTATCTAAGGTTTCAGTGGCAGCTTAAATCATCGTAAATAGTTGCGTGTACAAAGAGATGCAACCCACAAACCCCTGGTACTCGACGACAGCTATGGCAAAACATAAGTTATGCGCTGGGCATCCAAGCATTCAGCTGGAATGCACCGGCTCCTCTTCTCTAAAAGCACGCCCAGCGTGGCTGGACGGGAAATGGCGGAAGAAAGCAAGCCTATCCTGTCCACAGCCGCGATAGCTATTGCAAAGTATGAAGCAGTCAGTAAAGTTATTACATGGTCAGATGGACGGCAGATAGGCGACACGTAGCCCCGGGCGTATCACAGGGCCACGTGTGTGTGTGTCTGGCGTCCGTAACTCAATGGCCGGTGTGAGCAGACCACGACGAATCGAATCGTTTTGGAACCTGCAGCACCTGCAAAATGGAATGGTCGCTGTCGTCAGTTAAACTGGAGGAAACGGTTAAAATGGTCCGTTCACGCTGGTGTTGTATATTTTATCCGCGTCTCCTGCTGTTTTCGTATCGCCTCCTGTCCAATGTTGCGTGGAAAGTTTAAGATTGTCGTGATCCTCTTCAAACAGCCTTCAGAGAATACTCCCATATTGTTCATGAAGTCCGAGGAAGTCTTCCAAATCATGCAAATGTGTACAGTTTCTGTTCCAACGTAAATTTGAGTATGTGGAACTTAAGGTTCCTCTGCTATCACGGGCACAGCCGTAGTCTTGATAAGCAGGGGGCATCAGGAATGACGGATGGCCTTCTGCTGGTGAAAATTCCTCTCTATAAAAGTTGCTGGACTTGACGCACTTGATTTTGACAGGCTCGATTTTCTTCGGCTTATTTGTTAAAGCTCTTAAGATGAAACAAAGGCCAGAAGCGACCGAAAGATGCAATTACGTATTTATTTAAAAGGCAATGAAATGAATTAATCAGGCAATAAATGACAATATCAAAGAAGCCACCGGTCCAATTTATTTATCAACGGCTCAGTGATTTATTTTGAAACAATAAAAATCAGTGGCTTTGCCGGAGATTTTCGGGGATCTGCAGAGTATTGAAGATCTAGTGGATTGAACGTATATTGTAGATGGTAATGGTGTTAGACTCTGCATTGACGTCGCGAACCCATGTCCACCATGTGACTTTCCACACCTTTTATTCTATTAGTGAAAAACTATGTAATATAGTTTTGAGCATGCGCGCTCCCGAAACTTCATAAGCAAATACTCCGACGTCCGACGCCGCAGTCTCAATATGCTGCGTGTCGTCGGTTCTGAGGCCAGCAGCGGGCGGTGGTCGTCGGGTGAACGAAAACGATCACGTTTCAAAAAAGAATGTTTGTACTCTTTATGAAATCAGCTGTTACATTGGGAGTGTAGTCCGAGCCGTAAATCGCTCGGACTACACTCCCAATTACCAATCCGAAAACCACTCAAGTGAGATTTACAGCTCGGACTACCCTCCAAACGTAGAAGTTGATTTTATAAAGCGTTTAAGCAATTCTTCTTTTGAAACGTGGTCGCTTTCGTTCCCTTTTTTATTACCGCCTGCTGTTGGCCTCGGGATTGATGCCACGCAGCCTATGGGAACTGCAACGCCGGACGTCGGACGCAAACGGCCATTGCCGTTGACGCGCCCTTAAAATCCAATAACTGAACAAACGCTGCCCATTCGGATGCCATTGGAGTGGCATACGCTACATCGGTCCTCTCCCTGACGCGGGAGATCCTCTGATCGGGGCAGTTTGCCTTGGATCGCCCAGGGAGCCCCGCTTGACACAAAAGGATCCCTTACGGGGAAAATGGCTCCAATATTTTAGCAGAGGGATTCCAGTTTCGCTGATCGGGTTTCTGGCTGAAATGGTTCCGCGTAGGGCCTCGGACAGAAAAAGAGCGCTTCCATTGTCTCATTGAGATCTCGCATCGCAAGCTCTCACATCTCCCTCCATTGTCAAAGGGCCCCGACCAACGCAGGAGGCCTTCTACCATTCGGAGTCCCGTCCCTGTCCTTGTTCAGCAAATGTGTCCCCGACCGACTCGGGGCCCCTTGTCGACACAGGACCTCCCGTTAGACACTGTGGGCCCTTGACCGACACAGCGAATTCTCTCATTGTGTCAGAGGTTCTGAGCAAAGCAAATTGCTGGCCTAAGCCTTATCCTTGCTTGGGAAGTAGGCCCCCAAGGCTCAGACCAATACGGAGCTGAGTGTTCGGTGTTGGAGGCCTTAGGCTCGCATTATCACAGGGGTCTCCAGTTGTTACAAAAGGCATTCCGACTTACTTATGGGGATCCTTCATAGCTTAGTTCCAAGGAACTCCGGTCTTACGGGCCGCGGATCCCTAAAGCGCGACCTACGGCCCCGTCTCTCAGGCTCTTCGGGCCATCCGATCGTGTTCTGGATCGTCGGTCACAAAGGGCCCTTCAGGCTATACGGGACCTAAAAGGGAGGGGTATGTACCCTTTGTGTGCCCTGCTATATAGATCCGTTTTTGGCCACTGGCGAATGTCGATCGCCTGGTAAAATAACCGGCCGACTGACAATCTGTTCAAACGTTGGTCCAAATCCTGATCAGGCTCAATTGCGAACTTTCGATGCAACAATGACCCTTTTGCCGACCCCTAAGTCGGACGCGATGTGTTCCCGAGCTGCCCTGCTGTCCAGCTGTCAGCATGGTGGCTCTGTTCGATTTCAGCACGGCCTGCAGGCGCCATGGCGTGATCGTGCTCTGCGACGAGATCTACGGCCGACTCACCTTCGGCGGCGGCCACGTCAGCATGGCCAAGGTCCGTCTGACGTCACAGACGACACGGCCGACCCGGACCTTGCCTGCCTGACCACCGGTCGGTCGGACCCGCAGGTTATCCCCTGTTCGGCGGCCGACTGGGACCTTGCCTGCCTGACCACCGGTCGGTCGGACCCGCAGGTCATCCCCTGTTCGGCGCCGACTCGGACCTTGCCTGCCTGACCACCGGTCGGTCGGGCCCGCAGGTCGTCCTCTGTTCGGCGGCCTCGGACCTTGCCTGCCTGACCACCGGTCGGTCGGGCCCGCAGGTCGTCCTCTGTTCAGCGGCCCGGGGTCCGTCTTCGGTGTTCGCGTTCCGACTGAGGGGCATCTGCTCGCGGGATGTGCACCTTGACGGCCAGTTGTAATAAACAGAGCCGTGTAGCTTTTTTCCAGGATTGTAAGTCACACCATTGGTCGTTTAACCCCGGTGTGTGCATCCCTCCGGTCGCATGTGACAAACAGGACTGATATCATTGGGATCAGAATTTCAAAGTCACATTTCCAGTGGAGCGTTCCAGATCATACTACGGTTGGTGACTTCGTTAATGAAGCATGCATCGCATTGAGCATGTTTCGTGTAATGTCCTTACAAAAGAAAGCGCTACTCTGTCAAAGATGCATAAGGTGCAGTAAGCCCCTCCCGCTTGAGTACATTTCCTTTGTATGGCACCATGTTGTTAGCAAGCAAGACACAGCATAAAAAATCTGATTTAATTCGGTCCCTAGATATACCTTTATCTGAACAAGACTTTTTAATTCTTTAATATGAACGCATGTTTTAAGAAGAATGTTTGATTACGTGTTGGGATTCATGCCAGTGCAAATCTTTGTAATTATACGATCTCCCACTAGTTTTCACAAATATCTAATGACAACCTCGGCCAAACGCCCGTCGGCTCTGCTGCACTCAGTCACATTCCTGCGGAGACGGAGTCACGATGGGACCATTTGAAGATCATTGATCCCTCTTCTGGGCCCAGCTACCATCTGCCGCGCCTTAAGCCCACGTGGCATACGTCGCCCAGGGTCACGGCTCGGCGAGTCACGCATATTAGCACGTTCCATTCACAAGTCGGAAGCGAACCAGACTGGTTTTGAAATGTGCTGCTCACGCGTCCACGGGCGATGAAAAGAAGAAACGCTGGTGTGGCATCGCTGCAGGCACGACCGCTTTCAGTAGAATATTCTTGGAACGACGCTAACCTCAAGGCGAGCTGAACTGACCACTGCTACACTTGCCACGCCGGGCTCTCCACCCAGGCGCATGCGCTTACGTAAGCAGTACGAGGCAGCGGAAAAGCTCGGATGTGTCGCTGTGTAACCTTGCTGTGTCGCGTGGCGGAACACCACTGCATGTTACAGATCGACTAGATTTTACCCAACACCTAGTCGTTCCCACGTCTCAGCGCAAGTGGCCTCCGATGGATCCAATCAAGTCAGCAGTGTGCATCGACCCCTGCCTCACCTGGTAACCGCGCGCCTCTGCCGCCAGGTGTACCCCGAGGGCACGATCCTGATGTCGGGCTTCAGCAAGTGGCTGAGCGCCGGCGGCTGGCGCCTCGGCTACGCCCACTACCCGCCCGGCCTGCAGCCGCTGCTGGCCGCCGTCCGCTCGGCCGGCTCCAACACGTTCAGCTGCGCGGCGGCGCCCGTCCAGTACGCGCTGGCCGCCGCCCTGCAGCCGGAGCAGGCCCCCGAGCTGCGACGATACGCTACTGACTGCGCCCGCCTCCTGGAAGCCGTCGGCTCCTTCTGCGCCAGGTGCGCACGTGCGGCTGGCTTGGCGTGGTGTTGGGTTGCGATTGTCACGGAATGGTCAGCTGGCCGCTGCAGGTAACGCACCCAACGAGGGAAGGCTAGGCGTGTGGTGATCGTGAGGCGTTGTCATCCAAGACGCATCATGCATTACAGTAACCTCGGCGTTCATTGCCTAGATGCATGCTGGTGGGCGACAGACTAGCAAAGGCGTCGGAAGATGCCAGCTCGCATGAGCGCAGCGTTTGACGAGTTCGCTCGTACCGACCGCTGTCTTACGTTTGCGGTTCCGCAGAGAGCTGGCGCTCGTCGGTGTCAAAGGCACGCCAAGTCAGGCGGGCTACTACTTCATGCCTGACTTCGAGGTGTGCCGAGCCGGGCTAGCGGCCCGCGGCCTCTTCACCGGCCAGCAGATGGTGGACGCCATGCTCGAGGAGGCAGATGTCGCTGTGAGTCAGCTGCTTCACCTCCGTGTGTAGAGGGCGCCAGGAGTGAGCTACTTCGCCTCCGCGTGTAGAGGGCGCCAGGAGTGAGCTACTTCGCCTCCGTGTGTAGAGGGCGCCAGGAGTGAGCTACTTCGCCTCCGTGTGTAGAGGGCGCCAGAAGTGAGCTACTTCGCCTCCGTGTGTAGAGGGCGCCAGGAGTGAGCTACCTCGCCTCCGTGTGTAGAGGGCGCCAGGAGTGAGCTACTTCGCCTCCGTGTGTAGGGGGCGCCAGGAGTGAGCTACTTCGCCTCCGCGTGTAGAGGGCGCCAGGAGTAAGATATTTCGCCTCTGTGTGTGGAGCGCGCCAGGAGTGAGCTACTTCGTCTCCGTGTGTAGGGGGCGCCAGGAGTAAGCTGCTTGATCTCCGTGTGTAGAGGGCGCCAGGAGTAAGCTGCTTGATCTCCGTGTGTAGAGGGCGCCAGGAGAACGGTTTGCATTGCAGGCCGTGGTCAAACTTATTCATGAAATCAGGCTGGGCGTTATAGCGCGTCCTTTGTTTTGATCCATCGTCGTCTTTTTCAACACATTTGCATGATGAGTTGAAGCGGAGCGCAGGTAGCTTTTCTTTCACGTGTCAACGGCCACATATTTTGGGAATTTGGGCGGTATATATCTAAACATGAGCGCAACTTTCCTTGCCTGTTGGGTGTATTATGTAGCAGTAATGGACCACAGCCCCCAATGTTCCTGGCGAGGATTTTCAAAAAGCATCACCTCTGGACAGCAGCATTGAAAAGACTAACACATGATGCGTTCACATTTCACGTTTCTTATCACGCTTGGGTTTCCTTAGTTTTCTTTTTCAAAGTCGTAGGACTCGTGCATTTTTATCCCTTTTTCCTCGCTTGCATTTTGGGCGCGCAAGGTAAAGCATTGTTTATAATCATGCAAAAGGCGTGTCATTGGGACAAATGCCGGGCATTTAGTGTTGCTCACTAGTGGTGTAGCCGTCACCGAAACCCATTGTCACAGACTCAGGCCGTGTCACCGACATAAAAGCACCATGCAACCCCGGCCTTCTGTTCTACCCGACCTTCTTCTTCACCCCGACCTCCTGCTTCACCTGACCTTCTGCTCCACCTTGCAGTTGATGGCCAGTTCGTGTTTCCTGATGCCCGACTCGGCCCTAGTGACGCGTTTCTGCTTCGTCTGCTTCGACGGTGCGGCGGCGCTGGAGGCGGTCGCCGACGGACGGCCGGTAGACGAGGCGTTCATCGAGCGTCACTGCCCCGTACTGGTGGCCGGGGTGCGCCGCCTGCAGGCCTGGGTCAGACGCCACTCGGACGTGGTCGGAGGTGGTGCGGTCTGACGGCGTGGTAGAGGCTGTCAGCGCTGCGACTGAGACGGTGCAGAGGCCAGGGGCCTGCGACCGAGACGGCGCAGGGGTCAGGGGCAGTGGTGGGGAACCTCTCGCTGTGGTAGAGCGCTTATCGCCGTGTTAGTGGCAGAGAGCTTGTGAAGGCAGGTACTATGTAGCAGAGTTTCTATGCGTGTCTTGGGTATTGTATATCAGAAGTGTTGGATAATACACTGTAGATGAAGAGAACTGCTTTGTATGAGTCTTCCAAAAATGACGTGACATATATCATTCATTACGGAGATACCTGCAAAGACACATACTTGCTGTTCTCGTCTAACGTGCCTTATTTGTTAATTCACTGCGCCAGAGCATTTTTGATATTTTTATGGGGAAAATAAGTATCAAAAGGGCATCGGCGATCGCCAAATATGTCTCACCATCCCATAAACTCCAAACTACCGGCAAGCCCTGTATTCAGTGTTTATGGAATTCGCTACAAGGTGGCAGCACTATCGGAGCCGGTGAAGTAGGTGGCGTTGGCGGAGAACGCTTTGCGCCGCCGCCCACTCCGCACCCGCTGCGCGTACGGCATTCCATGCAATCTGCAGTTTGTGACTATGACTACGGTAGAATTACATGGAAAGCACGTTGATTAAAAAGGGTGAATAGTATGCGAACGCTACCGGAGGATGTAGTATGCAGATGCGGATTTTATGCAGTATACCGCAAGCCACGGTCGTGGCTGATCAGCATTTTTATCCTTGGATTTTGCGGCTGCTTCGAAATGCATGTTTTAAGGTCAAAATTAAGTTTTACCTAAAGGCACAGCGATGATTTCACGGTAGGCTAGCCGAAGTCTTTTGTATGGTTACTAGTGTTTTTCAAAGAGTGTCAGGTTCCCCGATGGCGAAATCAATTGGTCACATGGGTATTGTATGCACTTTACCTCCTCTAAAGTTTCTAGTATTCTCCATCCTTTGGAAGGGATGTTTGTTTCCCACCTCTCTTTTCTGGGTCGGGTACAGTGCTGTTCCTCTCCCGTATTCTCCGGGAGCAGTGTTGCTGCTTTTGATCCTTTCCGGGAGCAAGGTTGTTCGCCTCCTGTCATCTCCTGAAGCAGTTTGTGTTGTTTACCTCTCCTCATCACCGGGAGCAGCGTTATCACCTCTCCTGTCCGGGAGCAGCGTTAGTCACCGCTCCTGTCTAGGAACAACGTTATTCACCTCTCTTGACCGGGAGCAGCGTTATTCACCTCTCCTGACCGGGAGCAGCGTTATTCACCTCTCCTGACCGGGAGCAGCGTTATTCACCTCTCCTGTCTAGGAACAAAGTTTTTCACCTCTCTTGACCGGGAGCAGCGTTATTCACCTCTATTGACCGGGAGCAGCGTTATTCACTTCTCTTGACCGGGAGCAGCGTTATTCACCTCTCTTGACCGGGAGCAGCGTTATTCACCTCTCTTGACCGGGAGCAGCGTTATTCGCCTCTCCTGTTCGAGAGCGGTGTTATTCACCTCTCTTGACCGGGAGCAGTGTTATTCATCTCCTTTGTTCGGGAGAAGTGTTATTCACCTCTCTTGTCCGCGAGCCGCGTTACGTGCCTGGTCCCCTTCTCCGGTAATGGTGGTGCTTAATTGTCCAGCTTGGTAACCCTGCCTGATTAGCGATTACCCGCATGCTCCCCTCGCTTCCCTTCATTCTGGCAGCGTTAGTGTGATGACGCTAATCAGCTGGTTCGTGCATGGATCCCAAGCACGGCCCAACCCATGACGACGTGACGCTGCCCAATCTGGCGGTGGTCGCACCGAACCAAATGTGAGCTAATTTCATTGGCTACCGTGCATGGCACGGCCGCCTGCCAGGCTTAACACCTGACGGGGTGCCGGATATTGCGCCTCGCTGAGCCTTAACCCGTGGTCTCGATTCGCCTTCTTATTGCCTCTCAGCTGTCCCGGTACCAAACAGTGCCTGCAATGCGGCCTGGAGCTCATGGCAGTGAGCACTGTCAGCATCAGGCAGCTCCGGGCGTCAGATAGGGACATGTTCCCTGGATCGGTTGTGGGAGAGGGCTGTGGCAGCTGCACGCACCTTTGGCAGTTGGCTACACGGCTCAGGACTTGACTGAATTTCCAGCTTGATTTAAACGTTATATAATTTCACAGAATCTTTCACGGTATAAATACATGTGCCAAACGTCGATTTGGCTAAATGTTTGAATGATGCATTCATATGTGCATCTCAGTGCTCAGTTTGCTAGTATTATGTGTATGTTATTATTATGACATGTTATGTGATACAGAATAACATGATCACATATTTATTGAAATGTATCATCATGATTGTTATGATGTGTTCAAATGTGCATCTTACTGTTCAAACAGTTTGCTAATATTACATGTGTTGTTGTGATTTATAACAGCACGATAATCACATATTCATTGAAATAGCACTAAAGCTATCAACGCTGCCTGAAGCCTGACCGCTTTGACAGCAAGCATGTTCGCCCGAAACTTCGATGCAAAGCACGTACGTTAATAAAGCAGCATCACCAAAGTGGCGCCGCCTGTCTCCATGCCGCCTCGGGTGCACAGAGCGGCGCCGGCGACTCGGCAGTGCCCGCGTCCGCCCTCCCCGTCCCACCTCTGCCCTCCTCGTGCCAGCAGCTCGTCACGTGCCGGCGCCGGGTCGGCTTACACCGGCCTGCCTCCCGGACACTCCTCAGCGCCGCCTCGGCCCCGTGGCGCTGGCCGCGGCACGTCCGCCAGCAGCGCAGGGACGCTCGTCCGCGGCCGGCACCGTGCAGCAGACGGCGCCGATCGGCCCCGCTGCGCGCTGGGCTACCTCGGCAGCGCCCGCTGACTCAGAGCGGACTGTGGCGCGGGAGCAGGCAGCGCTGTTGCCTGTGTTTTCCTGCACGCAATGAAGGCGCGTGCGCCCATCAAGCTCTGCGTAAATCGATGACCCTATATCATGCGTGTGTCGGACTCTGTGGACACGACTCCTGTGACTCGCCGTTTTTATTATTACTCCTGGCATTCACGTGCCCCCCCCCCCCCCCCATATACGCGGCGCGTACACGTACAAGTAATCCCGATTCGGTGAGCATCTTCGTAGAAGTGTGCATGTGTAAACATGGCGCCTGAAGGTCCCACAACGCGCAAATCAGTCTGATGAGACCTGCGTTGTATGTGGGTGGGAGACCACAGCCTTCGGCAGCTCATGGTTGTGATCCCAATGAGCCCACCTAGCGCCAAATGTGGTTCACAGGATGACGGGGTCAAGGACGTGCCAATAAACCCGACAACGAGAGCTTCCTGTTTGTCAGAGCCGCAGCAGGTCTGGGTCTCTGACCGGCGGACGGACATAGGCAGTGCGTGCAGTATACTGTTTGTACGCATTGGGATGCGTGCGAGTGTAACGACCCTGCTCCGTATACGCTTGTTTTCGTTGGGCGGGTTATATGATCGGCTGTGGTCGCCAAGCGCGTGATCGCGTGTGATCGCCAAGTTCGTGAAGCGCGCTGCGTCTGTTGACACGCAAGCGGAAAAAGAAATATTCGCGCTGCGTGGCCATCGGAGCGTGACGCACAACAGCACGTAATCAGTGCAGCTTCGAAACGAATAAAACGCTTGTTTGGATAGCATGTAAGCAGGCCACAGGGAGGAGTTCGGTACGCCTGGTATTGCGCTGCTTACAACGTCCAGTCCCGCATGCAACTTTTCTAGGCCGAAAACCTGTTGAATCTATTCCAAACAAAAAGCGTAGGTAGCAAGGTGACTGAGTGTGAAAATAAGTTTGTTGACTGCCCATACTTTTTAGTAAGAAATAGTTATGCTTCACTCACCAAATGCTTTCTTCTTCATTTTTGGATCAAATGATTCCTGGGTTTGCCCTTTGATTGGTTTGACAAGAAAATGTGCGTTGTTTTTTTAATCCTTTGCTGACGCTAAAACTCAATTTGACAACGATTCACCCCAACACATACGCAAAAGAAGAAACCTGAATACCCTGTAAGAAATGCTTAGATGCCTTAGCGTCAGGGAAAAGGTGGTCGGGTACATGTGTTTCTTACATTCAAGCAATAGATCACTGCAGGTCCTATCAGACTACCACAGTAAAAAACGTCAACATGTCTGGAATATATATATAAGCATATATATGTATATATATATATATATATATATATATATATATATATATATATATTTATATACAAACATCTGTATGTTTTGCTCGAAACGGTCCCAGCGTGGTAAACGAAAAGTTTGTGGCAATCCGTGATGTTCCAGCTGCATGCCGTTGCTACCTTAGTATGCCTGTGCTAAGTGCACGAAAGACGTCATCGAGCTGGGATGTTCAGCATCGGATCAAAAGGTTGCCGTGATATTTTTGGCATGCACCCGAGATAACAATGACGGATTGTACGTAATAGTGCACGATTTGAAGCATACTTGTTTGAGAGTTAAGGCAATAGATTTAATTTTACTAGTGGCCCTTGTTGGTCAAAATGACAGCCAACTAAATGCGCTTAAGCCCGTTGCACAATGGTATAACGTTTTTGGAACGCGGCCTGCATAGTTCAAAGACAGATATGTTGCATTCGTCATCATTCGCCTCACTTCGAGCGGAGAGGGCAGGTAAATAGCCCTTTGTATCCCGGCCTTAGCAACAGCCATGAACTCGACAAACGAAGGGTGGTGTTTCCTCGCACTGGCGGACAGCTAGCTCCCGAGAAGGCCTCTGCCGCTTCAGACCTCCTTGGTGCCGCTCTCGGAAGTGGGGTTCAGTGCCCCGCCAAGGCGCACGGACCCGCGAAAATGAGCCGGCGGCGTCCGCCCGCGCCGAGCGCGCTCGCATTGAGTACCATTACGTCGCGATTCTGGGCAGCATTGGGCGGGAATGAGGCGCATCCGCCAGCGGTCGCCGCCGACATCCGGCGGCCGAGCGGCGCCACCGTCGCCAGGCCGTCAGGGGGCGCCCTCGTCGGCGGCGGCGGTCGGCAGCCATGTTCGCGCGTCGCCGGTGGTCGCACGCGCTCCTGCTGCTGGTGCCGCTGGTGCTGGTGGACGCCGCGCCGCCGGCCGACCCCGCCGAGCGAGCGGCGAACGGCAACGGCACGGGTGGCGGAGCGGTGGCCGGCGGGCCGCCGCCGCCGCCGCCGCCGCCGCCGCCCAACGCCACGCTCGAGTACCACGACCCGCTGTTCGGTCCGTACGACCCGAATCGGCACTACACACACGTGCGCTACTTCGAGGTGGGCAAGGTGGACTTTGAGCATGTGCAGGCGCCGTTCGTGATCGGCTGCTGGATCCTGATCGCCGGCCTGGCTAAGATGGCGTTTCACAGTGTGCCTCACATGTCGCGGATGGTGCCGGAGTCGTGCCTGCTCATCGGACTCGGCATCGGGGTCGGCGCACTGCTGTACGTGTGCCTGGGCGACATCGAGGCTTCGCATCACTTGGACCCGGACACGTTCTTCCTCTACATGTTGCCGCCCATCATCCTCGACGCTGGCTACTTCATGCCCAATCGGCTCTTCTTCGACAACCTGGGCACGATCCTGCTGATGGCCGTGGTCGGCACTATCTTCAGCACGTTCGCGATCGCCGGCGGCCTGTACCTGGTGGGCATGACGGGTGTGTACGGCGTGGAGACGTCGCTGCTGGACATCCTGCTGTTTTCGGCGCTCATCTCTGCCGTGGACCCGGTGGCCGTGCTCGCTGTTTTCGAGGAGATCCAGGTGAATGATGTGCTATACATCGTCGTGTTCGGCGAGAGCCTGCTGAACGACGCCGTCACGGTCGGCCTGTACCATATGTTCGAGGAGTACATGATTCTCGGTCACAGCGCCTTCCGGATGACGGACATCGGCAAGGGGTTCGTCAAGTTCGCCTCGGCGGCTGTAGGCGGCACGTTCATCGGGGTGGTGTGGGGTTTTGTTACCGCCTTCCTCACTCGCTTCACGGACAAGGCTCGTGTAATGGAGCCCATCTTTGTGTTCACCATGCCGTTCTTGGCGTACCTGAACGCCGAGATCTTCCATCTTTCCGGCATTCTGTCCATTACTTTCTGCGGTCTGACGATGAAGAACTATGTCATTACGAACGTATCCACTAAGTCGCACACTACGATCAAGTACATGATGAAGATGCTGGCCTCTTGCTCGGAAACGGCAATCTTCATGTTGCTGGGAGTGGCCACCGTGCATAACCACCACGACTGGAACCTGGCCTTTGTACTGGCCACCATCCTCTTCTGTGTTGTCTTCCGTTCGATAAGTGTAGTCGTGTTGACCGCCTTTGCCAACCGTTTGCGTCTGCGTCCGATCGCCGCCGTTGACGTGTTCGTGATGGCGTACGGCGGCCTGCGCGGGGCCGTCGCCTTCGCCCTCGTCATGCTCATCGATCCGCACTTGGTGAAGGAACAGCAGATGTTCCTCACCACCACCATCTCCGTCGTGTACTTCACCGTGTTCGTGCAGGGCATGACCATCAAGCCTCTGGTGAAGCGGCTGGGCGTCGAGCGCGCGAACAAGCGGAAGCTAACAATGAACGAGCGAATCCACGAGCGGACGCTGGACCACCTGAAGGCTGGCGTCGAGAACATCGTCGGCCACCCCTTGACGTACAACGTGCGCCACCGTTTCAAACAGTTCAACCACCAGTACCTGCTCCCGTGCTTGACGCGCGGACACCACAACCGCGCGCGCGATCCCAAGATCATGGAGACGTTCAGCAGGTTGGTCATGATGGACGCCATGCAGAACTACAACGACGTGACCAACATGGGCCAGAGCAGCCAGCGGCTGACCGCCAGCTCCTCGCTGTCCGTGTCGGACGCGGCCAGCGGCAGCCCGGCGCTGGCGCCGCCCGCGCAGCGTCGCTTCAGCTACCGCCGTCACGTCACGCAGGACGCGCAGCTGCCCAACCCCGTGCTGAGCGCGCGAGACCAGGTGCACATGGCGCAGGACATGGACGCGCGCCTGCTGCTGCGCGCCTCGCAGACGGCGCCGGACGAGGCGCGGCACGGCACGGTGGTCGGCGCGCTGCGCGAGGCGGCGCGGCGCGGCTCGGCCGGGCTCGGCCGGCGCCGGCTGGGCAGCGAGCCGTCGGAGCACGGCCGCGCCAGGCGAGACGAGGAGCGGCGCGGCAGCGGCGGCGATTTAATTACCCTGGACGGGGGCGGCCTACAGTACACTCGACTGTGAGCTGAGCCCGCCTTTGAGCTCGCGGTACTGTCCGCGACCGCGGGTCGACGGTACGCACGACCGTTACTTAACGGTACATCCAACTGTGAGCCCACTGCGTTGCCGATTGTGAGCTGTCTGTGCGGTCGACAGTTGGCTGACTGTACAGCCGGCTGTGGGCTGGCTGTAGAGTCGACTGTGGGCTGATTGTACAGCCGACTGTGGGCTGAACGTGCAGTCGACTGTTGGCTGACCGCACGGCCGACTGTGAGCTGACTGTACCATATCCACATCGCAGGGCGGCCTGATAAGTTGGCCGATGTTGACTATGAGTGCACTACGCCGCATTGCCGTACTCGATGACATGGCACCTGGGTCATAGAAATGAGAACATTTTCTGTTTGACTGTTGGAATTTTGTGCAGACAAGTCGGAAGAAAGGAGTTAGGATGGCGTGCGGTGGGAATGAGATCAATTAACGCATTGAGGACTTGATGATATGGAGATCCGTGGCAAGGACGATCATTCATGTTTCCATATCATGTACATGCATGGCATTGTGCTGTACCAAATTTGCATCTTATGTCATTTTTGCAACTGTTTTGGATGATTAACACGGGTCAGAAGATGCCAGGAGTCGAACGATTTCATAGCATGTATTTTAGCTGAGCCATTTTACACCGTTTTATGCCTTATGAAAACCATTTTAAGGCATTGCTAGTGGGTAGTCACGCATGCGCATCGTGTCAACAGCAAAGTGGACAACGCGTTTAGACTTGCGTTTGACCAAATCCCCGCGTATGTCACCATGAACCATCGACATCATTAAAAAAGCTGAGTGATAACGGCCGGTTTCACGGATGCGATGCCGGCGGCAATATGGTGTTATATCGTCTACCTTCTCCCCCAAAATAGGCGTAGTGATAACGGCCGGTTTCACGGATGCGATGCCGGCGGCAGTATGGTGTCATATCGCCTACCTTCTCCCCTCAAAATATCGTCCGAGTGCCGACGGACATGGGGGCAACGGCAGCAGAAATGCTGGTTCACGGCCTTTCCCTCCAATAAGCAGCACTGATCTCCCACGTTGCCGCTAATCGCCCGAGGCGGCAGCGGCAGCGGCCGCTGCAGCAATACGGCAAATTAGTGCCTGATGTTCTCGTAATGCCAGCGCTCGCAGACTGAGCTCCGCAATCAGAGGCCCAGACCCCGGGCTGGGGCGTTTAGTGGCAATAAAGCAGGAGACCGGTTCTGTTTGGAGGCATGACTAGATTCGTTACGTTCAGATTCGACACCCGGTCCGGGGCCTGGCGGTATGTGTGGGCCGTATGGGCCGTATGGGCGTTCAGATTCGACACCCGGTCCGGGGCCTGGCGGTATGTGTGGGCCGGCACAGTGATTGCCCTGACATCATCACCGACGCCTGCTCGCGAACACCACCTCGTCGCAGAAACCAAATCAGCAGGACGACCGAGCTGCTGGTCGCTGGACTTAAGTCACATATGCATATTGAAATACGGGGATAAGTTTCATATTCAGCTCAGGGCTGCAGCCCCCCCCCCCCCCCCCACCCCACCCCCCCACCCCCACTCCCGCAACTTAACACAGAAAGTGGGCCAAATTTGGGAAAGAACCTTTTTTGGCGTATTTTGTGGGTAGGTTGCGTCATTTTTCATCGCCCAGCTACCCCCACCCCCCACCCCCACCCATCAACTCATTTTGCAAAGCTACGCTCCTGATGCCAGACGTGTCCGTTGGAATCAAGCATACATCTTGACTGACGCTTATAGATCATTGATAATCAAATGCCCTAGCAGACCGAATATTGTGTGATTCGGTCTTCCTTTCGAAAAGTCTTCCATGGTCAACGTCGGACGCCTCAGCGGGTAAAATGCACGTGCACAATAACGTGTCATTTTATTCAAGTGCTACACCACCAGAGGTGAACAGAACAACGAGCACCGAGGCGTTGAAAGCCGCAGCTAGCCATCCGGCCTGCTAAATATGTTCATATTTAGCCTTCCAAAAAACTGCTGAGTTTCCAGGCAACGTCGTAAACAGACATTCGAAAATAAACTACGCAGTGCTGGAACATTTAACAGAATAGCGGCCTTCTACAATATTAGTCTAAAATTTTACGCGGCATGTAATATAGTCTGCATTTAAACGGCAGCATGTGTTCAATGGAAAGCTTAAGGGAAGTATCCAATATAAACGGCATGCAGCAACAGCCGCCATCCTTCCAAGCCGTTCCTTCGAGAGCCACCCATACACGCATCGCATTCTCATTTCCAGCCTGGCAGCGGCAACCGGCCTCCACATCTAAAGACTAAAACAAGACCAGAAGCGCGAGTCTCCGGCGGCGGCGGTATCACTGGCCGACCGCGACCGGCGGGGAACGTCACAGCCCGAGCCGGCGTGCCGGCCCGGCCCGACACTCGGCGCCACCTCGCTGGCGCTCCAGCCACCTATCGGAGGACCGACGGGAGCGAGCGACGCCTCGCGAGCCGCCCGAGCGCAGCGAACGAGTCAGCCCGCCAGCGCAGCCTTCACCTGCACACCCACGCGCACGCACACGAACACAGCGAACGACGGCGAGCTCGGCTGGCGCCGGGGCCGGAGGTGCCCGCCGGACGTCGACCGAACGTCCCCCCCCCCCCCCTTTTCCCCTCCTCCGCGCAGCGAAGCCGGGCAGGTGCGTGCAAGCGAGCCGCGCCGGTAGCCGGTGCGTGGGAAGCCGCGGACTGACGGAACGCGCGCGGCAGCACATCTAGGCCTCGAGAGCGGGCGACTTGGCCTCCGCATCTGGGGACTTGGCCCCGGAATCTGGGGACTTGGCCTCGGATTCTGGGGACTTGGCCTCAGGGTTCGGAGACTTGGCGTCGGATTCTGGGGACTTGGCCTCCTCCGCCGGGGATGTGGCCTCTGCAGATTGGGACGAGTCTTCAGGCTGCGGTGGCTTGGTATCAGCTTCGGGAGATTTCGGGTTATCTGGCTGCGCGGGTGAAGACGGAGACTTTGCTGGAGATTTGTTGGGAGATTTTGTTGGCGAAGACGGACCCGTGCTCTGAAACAGTCATCGGGCACCAATCATAATACAACCATTCGAAGCCATAAGCAGGCGACAACCAAGACAGCACCAAGTTTGCCAGTCATCCCAATCATGATGTAAAGACGAGCTCTCCGTCGACTGCGATGAATATTGATTTTCCTACTTGCATAATGTCAGGTAAGGAAAATTAGATAGATGTAGAACAAATCGTCGGTGATGGGCAGGTAACAATAGCAATAACGGGGGCTTTAAAATATCACAAAATATAAAACGCCCATGCGCTTTGTCGTCCATGTCCTCTTCACGACATCATGTGCGCGCGTGGGTTTAAAATTTTGAGTCGAAATGTGACAACAGTGCAATTGACATTTTGCTTACATACTAAGAACATGAAAAGCATACGACAGAAACTACTCGTGCTATTTTCCATCAGAAATTGCCATCATGGCCAGAAAATCACCGTCACTGAGCCTGTGGCCGGTCCATTGACCGGGAGTACGTATGTGTGCCGCACGGGTCGAGATATGCCGGCTGGCACAGGCGGCACAGCTGGGACTGGCTAGCGGCAGGCAGGTCACCTAGTACACCATGGGCAGGAACCAGCGCAGATAGTGCAGCGTTTTGAAGAGCAGCACGAGGTAGGAGGCGGGCGAGGAGTGGACCACGTTCGCCATGCACGCCATGGCCAGAAACTCGACGTTCTCAAACCGGGGCACTTGGGGCTCAATGCAGATCACCTACAGGAACGGGTGCGAGGGCCACAAGTTAGCAACGCCTTTGAAAGATACCGAGGAAGCTTCAGATCCAGCCACCGTGCTCCTTTTTCGAGTAGGCTATCATATGGTCACAACTTTAGATTGCCGTTAGGATAAATGCAACCGGCGAGGAGCGGCCCCCTCCCGCTCCCCCTCAATCCACGACGCCCACCACCAGCGTCGATGCGCAGGTGCCTTAGAAACAGGAATGGAAGGAAGTGGTTTTCCATGTGTCGGCGCTGCGCATGGTTTCTGACGAGGAGTTATGCGCTTCGGGTCGGAAACTGAGCTGTTCATCTGCGCTGTGTGCATGAATGTTCGTCGATAAAGACATCGGTCACGTGTGACGTGTGTCCCAAAGCACCTACGCACACACACACACACATGTTGAATTTGTTGAAGGCTGCCAACACAACCCTGTTTGTGCTGCAGTTCCACACCGGGTTTCATGCACCCTCTATCAATGAGCTAAGAATGACGGCTCAAATTTGCATACGTGGTGCGTATGCCACCCCAAAAATAAAGGTCACGTCCTGTCGCATTCTCACGTGCTGTCGGTAATTGGCATCGCGTCTGAGAACATGGCATACTTCGTCAGTCAGGTAAGGGGGCAGCAAAGACTGTACAAGCATGCGGAGCTAAAGAAAAGAGTACAGAAATCACGTTCAGTCAAGATTGCTATTAGCTTTCCCTCCAACCACCTGAACATATGGATGTGCCTTGAATGTACAATCCAAAAGGACCGACGGCTCTAAACACTACAGACAGAGACTTGAGGTGCTGATGTTAGTAGCGGCCAGCTGTTCACCAGGGCCTGCAGGCTTGTAAGGCGCTATGTTAGTAAGCCGAAATCCACCTGTAAAGGAATACTCACCGTCAGAGCCGGGCTCAACCCCTCACCGGTTCCGTGGCGTCATCTATCGAGCTGGCCTGAGACTTGCGCCTGCTACGGCCCTCGCCAGAGCCAGAGCTAATCTGGCGAATGTACTCAGTGTCGTTGAAGATTTTCTTGTCGCCACCTTGCGGCTTGTGTTTCACGTTATCCAGCGAGCCAATCCTACTGCCCACCGCGGACATGTCAATTTTGATGGATTCAACCTGAAAGGGCGGCGGCCCGCAGGGCATGAGTGCAGTGCAGCCGGTGCAGTCGCCGCATGCTTCTCTCGCGAGGTGCTCCTCGCAGCCCAAACACATCCAAATATAGCATGACCATACACCGTGACGTCATGTTCTGCACGCAGCACACAAATCAATGACCGCGTGCCGTGTTGTGAGGTGCTGCAGAAAACGAATGCCCGTCTCTGTGTGGCGATACCGTTGGACGTTGAACGCATCACAAACGAAGCACATGCCATACCCGCTATTCTGGTGGTAACGTGACGAC